TTCCTCAGACAGAAACAGACAAAATTTGGGTGAAGTTTACAAACCAGCTGCATGCACCAATAACGCAGGACTCTACCACCCAGGATTATCCTGGTGACTCCCTTGGTGAGCATGACAAAGTGGTTCTAAATCCACCACCTCTGAATTTCTCTGATTTTTTTTCCCCAGAGAAGAAAGGCATGGCCTTTCAGAGCAGCCTCTGACAATCAGGTAGAAAAGTCTGAGTCATAAACCACTCTGCCATCTAGTGATAACACTTTAATTCTGCTCCTCGGCTGAATAAACGTTCAAGTATGCTACAGATGGATTTCTGTGCAAAAATCTCTGGCTTACAAGGCTAGTTGCAGCTTGTGTCCTGAGAGACAGGAGACAAAGAACTACAAGACTTAAACTCTTATTGCACAATATTGGGATTTTTACACTATTTACAAAACCAGGATTCAGACAAATTATTAAATATATAGATTGAAGATGATGCACTACCCACGTTAAATCGCAAGTCTTCTGCACGTAAAGCTCTTTTTTCTTTTTCCTGGAAGCACCTGATGAGATTCTGTAATCAAGTCACTGTATCTTTGTTCTTGTTTACTCACTGAACACATAAGGGCTTCTGCCAAAGGTCTGCCTTGCAATACAATATTTATCAAAACTCTTGGTTTACCAGAAAATATAGCAATTACATAATGGCTTTATAACAGTGATTTGGTGTGGCAAAATCAACACAAACTTTCACTGAAAAAAAAAAAATGTATATATTATTTTATATATATATCCACAAAGTCACAAAAAAAAGACCTTTCCCATTTAAAATAAAAAATATGTTTTTCTGAGAATGCACATCATCCTCTGAGATAGTATTTGTCTCAAAAGTCCTAATTTTTGAAAAGATGGTTTAAAGTTATTGCTATCTCCAGATACTGTGTTAGAAAAAAAAAAAATGTTGCTAATCAAACATGCATGGACTGTGATACAGAATCTGGGTACCTAAGTGGATTTTAAAGCCAAGGAAAAATTATTTTCCTTGCTGATTTCCAAAACAAAAACCTGCACTTCTAATGCAGCTTTTCTACAAGCAATTTGTACTTTTAGGCCCAGATTATTCCTTTATTTTTTCCCACTGTCACCATACAGCATTACTATTTGCAACCCACGTGTCACTAAGAGCTCTGTAGCCGGAGGCATTTAGACCTTCTGTGCCCTGACTCTTTACAGCTGCATCGCCGCTTCCAGCTTCCTCTCCTGAAAGAAATGCTTATTAGATTACCGTTCCATGTCAGTATTCTGGCACTTGCACAAAGGCTGACCACAGGGCTGGGCAGAAGATCTGCTTTCCTTCCCCTCTTCGGGCTACTCAAAGCTCAGAAAAGATGTATGGACTGTGTAGATCCCTGCAGAAAGGAGTCATTCTTGCAAAGCAGCACAGAATCACTACAGCAGCTATTTACCCTGGCTGACACTCACAAGTGTGGGAGCAGCAGGAGAGGTTTTTGTCCAGATCCTGTAATTAGGGACTGAGGGAAACCAGAAACAGACTGTATGGGGAGCTGCAGTCAGAGGTAGGTGAAGCTGACTCACATCTCTTTATTCCTCAGGAAGGATAATCAAACTAGATTTGATTTATGTGGGGTCATCATAGCACAGAAAGTCAGGAAGAAAAATGGCTTGAATCAGCTTCCTAGCATCTCGCTGCTGTGTACTGGGTAAGCTTGCAAGCAGGAGCCGGGCAGGCTGAGGACACAAACAGTGCAGGTCCTCCTGCTCAGTCTCTGGGAACTGAAAACCCAACTAACTGATAGCACTGAACACTGAAATTCTTTCAGTACTGATTTTCAGTTGTCTGATTGAGAAAGAATCCTTCTCCTATGATAATGGTATTTTTTTGAAGGTTTTTGTCTGGTCGGTGCCTTCTCTTAAGTCCTTGTGACCTACATACAGACATGATACAATTAAAGCCCTCTTTCTCTTTATTTTTTATGTGACATCACTTGGCTGAGCCAGCCCTGGAGTTGCTGAGGCCTTTGTTTTGTTTTCTCACACAAGGTCAGATATGATTTTTTATAATACTCTGTTATCTTCATAGTGAAAATGAACATTCAAATCTCTCTCAAAGACATACAGGGTTTAGATGCTAGCTAGCAGTGGCATTGATGGACACACCCTTGCTGCTGTTGCTATCCTGAAGTATTAAAAGAAGAAGCCCAGAGTTAGGCATCCCTCTGCAAAAAAACAGGACTGAGGCAGACAGGAAGTTACTGTGAGCTCCCACATTGCCACTGAGCACCAGTAACTGATACGCACCTTCCCCGAGCTGCTGGCCAACATGCAGTACAACCTGCTAACCTAAATCATTTTCACTGAGACACTTTGATGAGGTTTGAATGGCACAAAAAATTACTCTAGGGATATGGAATCCAACCCCCACTATTTAAATCAAGATTGGTAGGATCATTACTACCTGATGACTGTTCATTAAGCCTGGGTGAGATAAATTTGGAAGTCAGTTGAACTCCCAGTGGCAGGAGATTTGCTGCAAACTGATTTCATAGCGCTAAGGTTTATTCCATTTGGAATAGACTCAAGCTTTGAACTGATCTCTGTCTGGATCGCTAGCTGGAAACAGAGAGGCATCCTGCTTTTCCAGAACATGCAATTCACTCCTGCAGCTGGCATCATTTTGACAAACAAAAATAACCAAGAACTGAGCTGCCCTGCAGGAGCCTCTGCCTTGTGACTTGTCCCTGCAGGTTAGAGTTGAACCTCAGTCCTGCAGCGAGGGGCACTGTCAGGGCTTGAGCTTTACCTGTTGGCTGGATCTAAACAAAGCAGCGCAGAGCCCACTGCTGTCAGTCTGGCACCTTTCACCAGCCCTACGTTACTCAGCAGTTAGAGAAACAACAGGCATTTCAGCATAGTAGGGGAGAAGCAGCTGGCTAGAGGATGAAGGAATAGAAAGAAGCAATTATACTATTATGAGTATCAAACAAGCCCACATCACTCTTACTTGTGCTTGGGGGTGCAAGGCCAGCTCATAACCACCTTTGTTGCTGATTGTTTTTTTGACAGAAATTGCTCCCTAAACAGTCATGTTCAGTGATTATTTGTCTCCTTCCTTCTTCCTCTGATTACAGCCAGACTGGGATATCCCTGATCTGCATAGAAATGAATATTTTAAAAGTCAGTGCTGTCCTCAAAGGGGCTTGTGCACCATTAGGTCTCCAGATTTACTGCACTAGCAAAGAACACTGCAGCAATGAAGCAGCAGCAATAGTCTATAACAAGGAGAAAAGATCTAAAAGAAAAGGATTTTGTCTTCACATGTTCATAACTAAAAATTAAAATGATCATTGAGGTCCTATTTTTAATAAGGAATTTTCACCAAATTTTGTAACCACACTGACAGAGCCAGCTCTATATTACATAGTAATACTTCTTGATTCAGCACCTGCGCTGTATTTTACCTGTGATCATGAACAGTGAACCACTATCATCAAAAAGCAAAGTATATTGAAACATGATGTTTGGTGGGTTACTTTCTTATATTAAGGCCTCATGTTTTCTAAGTCTGCATGGGAAATTTTCCCACAGCCAACAGCAGCTTGTGCAAAATAGTAACTGTGCTGTGATGCTTGACAGTAGCACAGATTTTCCCAGAACCACTGAGAAAGCAGAGTTATTAATTGCAATATGTGTACCCAGGCTGATACAGTTGGCAACAATGGTAATGAGCGTACCAAATTGTGTTCTTACTGTGTAAGATATGCCAGGGTCTCATCACCTGCTTTCAGAGTTTTGAAGTCCCCTGCCTATTTCCATATTGTTAATTATCTCAGTCTCCCTGCAAAAGAAAGTCCAAGTCACAGATCAAATCTATTCCCTTCTGGATGTTTCACTTTACATTAATCCAAAAGCAATCACACAACATAAACATCTGTCCATTTCTCCTCCCTGTCCATGGCTCTCATACCTCTCTTTTAGCTCTGCTCTGCTTTTCAGCCCTGCTAAAAGACAAGCCCTGAAATCCAGTTACATTCAACTTTGACTCATTGGGTGGACCTTCTCTCCCACTGCACCGTCTGCAGCTTTGTGGTTGTTTTATGCCTATGACTGTTTCTACGTGCTTAACAACTCTCTGAATTGACTCATATTTTCCATCATTTTAGGAACAATTCAAGAGCTTATTTTGGCTTGACCAGATCTGACTCACCCTGGGTGACCTCAGAAATTAGAATCAAATTCAGATTAGTGTAGAAAAACTAAAACTATAGTCAAATTGCAACTACAGCAAAGATGTAATTGCATCTTTACTAATGTGACAAAAAATTCCTGGCCTCCAGTCTGAACATATAACCAGTGTTTACCTGGTCTACCACTGGTCCAAGCCTGCAACAATTAGCCACTTCGGTTTTATTCTAAGGCAAAAACATAATGGGTATCATAAAGATCTTTTATACTCAATTATGCCGTGGAGAAAGAAAAAACTTAAATTACATAAATGTCACTATACCACAGAAATATGAAATTTAAGAAATTCATTCATGCACACGTACTTTGGAGTTTCAATCCATGATGAAAACACAGAGAAATAGCATAAAATTCCCCCAATTACAAGGTATTAAAATAGCCATCAGCATTTTGAACTATAAAATACTACTTTTTACTGTGTACATGTTCAGTTATTTGTCTGTCAAGCTCTAGCTGAAATCTATGCGAGTTTTGCCTGACCAGAGACCTCAAGGAACGTAATACTCAAAAACAAGTAAACAAACAAATGCTTGTTATAAAACAGTTGATTAAAAGTACAAAAAGTCTACAATATTAAAATCTAATGTCCTTATGATTATGCATTTAGTAAGACTTGCACAATCTCTAGGCTTAAATAAGAAAAATAAGTTTTTCTCTTCCTGACTAGTTCCATTTTGTCTGACATTTTGTTAATTGTTTTGGGACACAGACATATGCTTACATCATGTGTATGATTCACTATACCCTTTTTGCCGCAGAAATGTATCACTTGACAGGACTCATCATGAAAGCGAAGCTGCATTTCAGAACATTTTTGTCATTCCAATGGATACCAAAGCAGAACAAACAGATCACCCAGACATACACCAGACTGAAGAACAAGGAGGACTGGTGACAGAACATTCAGTAAACATAACATCAAACTGACACAGTATCCAGTGACAGGGGGATGGTGAAAGTAATACCAAAATTGCAGTAGTGTCCCAAACATTAACTATCTAGACTGCAGATCTAAAAAGCACAAAGAATGAACCTTGTATGCAATGCAGATTGCTTGGAAGCAGAGTTACAGCTTTAAATTGTTCTCAATCTTTTGCCCATAATAAATAGAATGACATGGTACATTTTCTTTTATGTATTTATTAACAGTTTCCCTCTCTTTTTGTTTAGTTTGAACGTAAATAAAGGAAACCTTTAGTCTTGCAAAAAAGCAGACATATGCCCTTCCTTTTCAGAATGAAGCATCACTTTTGCTGTTTGATTTATACATTTTTAAAATTAGTATAAACTATTCTGGGAAAACCAGTTCTGGTTTTGCAGCCTACCTATGCCGATTAGAAGCATGGCGTAAAATAAAAATGCTTCTAACCAACCATTCCAGTGAACAGAAATAAATTTAGGCTGGCAAAGGTATTGTTTGCTAGAAGAGTATGTGTTATTGGGCATGGTGGTTTTAACTGTAGTGGGAAGGAACTCCATCTGTTAAAATAAACTAAGATATACAGTTACATCAGCATATCCTAGGTACTGCACACTTGGCCCCTGTTTTGTGATAAGCTTCCACATGGGGAATTAGATTAGTGTAACTAGACAGAAATGCATCATAACTATACCAATACACAAAGACAGTGAAACAACTGTTGAAGACTTGGATTTTTCTTTCTATTATTTGTTGGGTACATGTGAAGGGATAGTTTCAGTTGGACAACTTTGGAAACAAGAGAATTTGTATTATAAAATATGCTAATATTGCATTGTCCTTTATAGGTAATTCAAGGTTAGACAATACTGCTATTGCCTCAGTGAAATAACATGTTTATACATTCTGTACTATTTTCATACATCCTACTACCATTTAAGAATCTGCAGTATCCACCGAGCACCACTATTCGAGGTTCCTTCCCTAAGGCAGACATAGTACTTCACAACTTATTTTCTAGTATTTAAATAAAACAGAAAAAAAAAAAAAAAGTGGTGAAATTGTGAAATTGAGCATATGCCTAGAAAAATACAATGGTATATGCTTCAATTACAGCATTGAAACTCCTGGCATACAGATACATTGTAAAAAAATACTATACAGTCTCAGTAGACTCTACACTGAGAGTTGCTTTGACCAGCCAGAAAGAACAGGACATTAATTAGCACACAATAAAATACATTAATTAGTACACAATAAAATTTAAGTGTTTCTGATAATCTCTGCAATAGAAAAAATGGGGCTTCTGCAGCTTTAGAAGTCACTTGGCCAATGGAAGAATGGCAAAAATCTGAACTACCTCATTCCAGCTTTCTGACAGAGACACACAAAGTCCTGACTTCACCCTTACCATCAGGCTCCAATGGCCGTGCACAGCTCTGGTGAACAGCTTGACGTGGTTGAAAGCACTCCACGAGACAGTGCAGTCTTCCTGTTTACGTCCTGGTAATGACCACCTCTAAAATGCAACAGTTCAAATTTCATTGAAGTGTTCTGAAACCCTGTTCAATGTCCTAAAATAGCCTGTCAAAACTCTTCAAAATTCCTGCTAACAAAACAACTCTCTCTGAATATAAACTAGAATCCAGTTTTGCACATTATACTTTGGCAAAACTTCCACTGACTTCAGTTGTCAAACAGAACACAGACAATAATCATAACAACAAATGCTGGAGCTGAAATACAAGATCCAGCCACTCATATCTTATGAACTTCAGTTAAAAGGAACACACACCATGATTTTTAAATTGCCAAGATCAGTTTCAGCTACGTTAATCGTGTGCCTTTAGAGTTCCCAATGGATAGATATGCAGGAGCCATGTCTAACCACATGCTGAATGACACTGAGAGGTGATGTTATGACTTGGTGTTTGTAGTTTTATGGACTAGTCTGTGACAGGAGCAAGGAAAAGGCCTTCTTGGAGTGATGCAGTCAAAATGAAAACTAACTCCACATTCCCCAAACTTTTGAGCAGGCAGCATTCATTATCTCGCAGATTTTTCCACTGATCACCATGTGTCCTCATCAGCGAAGGAATAATCAAGCCTATTACATTAATAATCTCTGACATCATTTTGTGGACTGGCTGCCAAGCACTTACCCTGACCTAGCAAACCACTGTGGCTTACTGACCACAGTATCAGAATCAAAACCTACTTTATTTTGGGAACAATTGAATGTTGTGTTTTTTTTTTCTGTAGCTGAAGGCTTGAGTTAAAGGGACGATCTGAATGAAAGCAACACAACTATTTCCCAACCATTGCCATCTAAGCACACCCTTAAAAGAAGCATCCACTGGCTTGAGGGATTCACCCTCTTGATTTGCAAAACATTTCCAAATAGCTTTTTTTCAAAGTTACATGTTATCAACAGGTGACCCAGTAAATGCAATTAAGGTGACCTGACTTCATCAAAGGAAGTGGATTGCCATGGGCCATCCTGATGAACTGTCAGGAAGGCAGGCTGACCTTGAATTCTCCATAAATTGATCCTACCTGAAATTAGATTAGGTATTGGGTAAGAAAACATGCAAATCAAATGCGTAATACTGGTGGTGGACTTTTCCTTGAAATACACTTAGCACAAACGGTTCTATGACTTCAGATCCACAATAGACCACAACACTTTTTGTTGATAAGAATAAATATCTGTAAGAGAAGACAATGTGATATACTGCAAAAAGCAAAATTGTTTAAGATCTAGACACGATTAACATTTTCAGAAGTTCAAACGGCAAGTAATATAGGACACCACTTCTGTATGGTTACTTCATTGTGTTAATGACTGAACTCTGCAGTCATGTGGCCAGACTGCATCTTAAGTGCTCTTATTTCAGGGGACACTGAAAGTCACTGCACGCCAAGCATATTGTGCTGCCAATGTGCAGGGACTGTTTGTGATTTGAAAGCAGGACAACATTTTCTCCTTTGCATACTTAATGCTCACAGGGTTTTAGCAAAGCAAGGTCTCTACACATTTAGCAAGGGTCCTCATTAGGGGCACAAATACAAAATTGCTGATGGAATTACAGCACGTGACAACAAAGCATTACAGCATAGTTCTCCTTTTTTATTAAGGGAAGGAAGGTATTTCCTACCTGAAACTAGGAAACACACCATTCTTCAATTCAAATGAAATGCTCTGCACACGAAAGAGAAATGAAGAGATTTTGCAAGATTAACATAATTGTTAAAGATGAGGTGGGATGACATCACTTAGCTTCAGCTGCTGACACTATATGCATCCCCTTAGGCAACTGAAAAGATGGCAACAATCTCCTCAACTAGTCCTCATTTTGTGGGAGGAAATGAAAGGGGGAGAAGGACCTCAATTTGAAAAGCTAAGGATTTGTATGATCATCCAAAGAAAGTGAGGACATAAGGACACAATGATCCTCTCTTCCTGCCACAATCTCCTTCTCTAAAAAACTTGATCAAGATCAATCTCTGTAGATTATTTCCTTATATATTCCTCCCTCAATATCTGTGGTATTTCACAGTCCGTAATAAATTTGAAATTTCTATTAAACAATAGGGTCCATTCATTATTATTATTTTTTAATCGAGAATGCAAAAATACACAGAATAGCCAGAGACATGCACAGTCTGATGTATGTCTTCAGCATCAGAAGAGCTGAAAACACTTGTCTATTACGACAGCATTTCTTGACTTGGTAAACCACGAACGTCAGATGAGGCCTGAGGAAGTAAGAGGGTAGATAAAGGAAATTCTGTGGAAGGACAGAAAGAAAAGATAGACAGACAAAGGAAGAATGAGAAACAATCCTCTAGTAAATTGTCACCAAAAAAAAAAAAAAAATCCAGGAAAAAAAAAAAGTCTGGCATAAAAAATTGTTAACTGCAACTTTTTATTCTGCTTTTGGTCAAAGAACTGAGCATCTGACAAAGAGATGAAATGTGTGCATCAGCCGCAGACATTAGCATACACAAATGGGCCATGACCCCTCCAACTGTTGTCAGTGCTTTGTGTGCATGCGCGCTTGCAGACACCATGAGGGACAAATTCATCCTCAGTGTAATCGGATTAAAAAGTCAGTGAAATTACATCAGAATGAATATTACCCTGAATATCTTTGTATTGATGTGATTATATGTTATGGGAAGACTCCAGCTCAGAGTGGCGTTTTTGTCACATGAGACCTGCAGACCTCAATACTAGCTGCCTTGTTTTTTCCTTCCGTCTTTTAAAAAAAAAGGGAGAGCTTAACTGGATGACATTGCTAAGCAGTATTCTACAGCTTTCATTACGGGTTTGGCCTTTCTAGGTAAAGAGGAAAAGCCAGAAAAACTTGGATACATTGTAATTTATGCCACAACCCTTTCAACAGTTTCCAAACCTTTATCACAAGAGGAAGCAAGAATCAAGTTAGCATGGAATCCTAGGCTCCACTAGTGTCTCCATTTTACAACTTTCAAAACATTAAAAAATAATTTGTAAATGAAGATACAATTACAAAAGGTACCAGTTATGATTGGCATGCAGTCAATAAGACAAGACAAAAGTTATTCATTGGGCTAAGTGTGATTTCAAGAGGGACAAGTATAAGTACACTTTTGAAAACTATCTGGAAAAATCACAATACTTTTTTTTTTTTCTTTTTTTGATGTTACTGTGGTGCTTAGCTCTCTGCCTTGTAGCCAATTCATATGCAATTGTTGCATATAAAGCAACATCTAGTCAGAAAATGCATTTACCTTCACTGTCCATTTTATTGAAATGCATCCAATTGGTCATCTAAACCAATTAGGAAGAAATCTGAATGTGTCAATAACTTTTAAGGACAGAAATTAATTTGGAATTCAGGGAATGACTGGAGACATCTGAGAGACTAATCATCTTGTTACTGTGTCTTCGTTAAGGGTAATAGTTAGCAGTTACAAAGCACTATTCATCCTCAAGTTGTTTTTAAACATTCATTGTAATTAAACCACATCATATCTCTGTGAATGAAAAGTTATTGTCTGTATTTCACAGCTAGCAACCCTGAAGCTACAAATAACTGATAAAAAGGACACAGTGTCAGATATGTGTTGGCAGCTTAGCTCTGCTTCAGCTAGGGTAGAATGGTTCCAAATGAATAATACTCAATG